CACACTCACACACACACACACACACACCCCATGGGGAAAACAAACTATTTGGACACACCAAAAACTTACTTAAAGATTTGTGAAACCTCTCTTTTCTTTGCCAGTCCATGAGGATATAACCTTTTTACTGAAGTCTTAAAGATGTAGAATATGAATATTCAGGATATTTATGCGATGAATTTAGCAATTTCAAGCCAGCAGAGGGCTCCCTGCTTTGACATGATCCTATATATGCAAAGTCCAGCACGAACTGCTGTTAAGGAACCAAAGCAGGGTTTAATGTTTGTTATGGGCTTAAAGTATTTGCTCTAACTGTGGTACATTAAGCAGTTTAAAAAGATGAATGAAGCAAAGCCAAGTCTCTGCTTCTGACGCTAGAGATATAATTTGTTAATTGTTTCATCATGCAAAATTTAATCTTCCTCTGGTTTACTAGTTTGAAAACCAAATGTGCTTCAATTTTGCATCATGAGTCCACATAGACACCTGCTGTCTGATTTTTCTAATAGATCTACATTTTTCTCTGTTCACAGCTTAACTGACACATTTTAAAGATGAGACTAACGGACTGATCAGTGTCTTAATCCTGGAGATGAATATAGGCAAAGCTCAATGAAGAAGAACATTAATTGTTTTAGTGCATATAATTTTGATTACAGTAGTCCCCGTTCACATGCAAGGGATACATTCCAAGACTCCCAGTGGATGCCTGAACTGCAAACAGTACAAAGTCCTATATAGACACTATGTTTTGTCTTCTGTATACATACTCATGATAAGGTTGAATTTATAAATTAGGCACAGTAAGAGATTAACAAGAGTAACAATAAAATTGAACAATTGTAACAATATACTATGACAGAAATTATGTGAATATGGTCTCTCTCTCAAAATATCTTATTGTACTGTACTTACCCTTCTTCTCTTGTGATGATGTGACAAGATAAAATGCCTACCTGATGAGATGAAGATCGGCAAATGACCTAAGCATTGTGATATAGCATTAGGCTACTAGTGACCTTCTGGCAGTACATGAGCTTCCAGACCCCAGTTGACTGCAGGTAACTGAAACCATGGAAAACGAAACTATGGATAAGGGTGGGCTGTTGTACTTAAATTGTAAGTTTAAATTGAAGGAATACTGGAAGGAGGGAAGGAAAAAATTCCAACTACTTTCAACTTCTCCTGCCATTTTGAACTGTATCCGGCTACTTCATGTCAGTTCCGACCTAAGAAACACTTGGCAGATTTTTACAATCCCAATGAATAATGTACACACAACACTTAGGTTAAATTTATTTAGAAATGTTTATTAACATTATTGTGACTATTTAAAATACAAGTATCTCCTACTTTGCAAAGTTTTGCATTAATGAAGCCACTTCACTTTTACAAAAGACCTATATTAGTACCCATTTTCCCTAACCTGTAAGAAACATGAAGAGGATTTTTGCGTCTATGAAAAAAGGTGAAAAGCAAAAATACACTCAGCGTTTGTTTCACAGTGAGCAGTTATAGAGGCTGTGCACACCTCAAGCAGCAAGAGCTGCAGGGCCAGGCTCCTTCCCATGGAACCACACTCGGCATCTCAGTGTCAAGCTGCCATAGTTTTGAACTGTGTCTCTGAGCATCTGTGCTTTATTCTGAGTTATTTTTTCATCCATTAGCAAGATATGTCTTACGGTATCAGAAAAACCTATGAGAGATGTTTCGGACGGTTGGGGGGGGCGTGGTCTGGGAATGCTTTAATGTTTTCCATATAAATTAATGGTAATTGCTTCTTCAATTTGTACCATTTTGGCTGATGAAAGATTTCATAGGAAGGCTCTACTTTCAGGTGGCAGGGGAAACCCGAAACAGAGAATTACAGGTTTCTGAAACTACAGGTTTACGAAAGACCTGAGGTTTTGTTTTTTTGGTTTTTTTTTGTAAAAGTGAACATTTCTTTCAGTTAGTAAAAATAGGTACTAATGGCGGTCTTTCATAATACTTGTAAAAGCAAAGCATAACACAAACTTTCAAAAAACAAAGGATGTCTGACTGCATACTCTTCAAATTGCCAAAACAAACTGACCAAACGTATTAGACATATGTATTGATCTGTTGTATAAACAAATTCTGATAAATTCTACTCATTTTCACTTCCATGATGTCTTTTTCTGTAATGTAGCTGCTTAGGTTATGTGGTTTTCAAAGGTAAATATAGCCTTAATGCAGACAACTAATGTAACACATGTTTATGATAACAAATATTGATATAAGCACAATTTTAGCATGCAGCAAAGAAAATGTTGTCAAAAAATGCAAATGAAATCTTCATTCTTTTTAAGTTTCCTCCCTTCCTTTTCTCATACTCTTTGACTCAGATGCTACAAGTGAATATAACATGACTGTATTTGATATCACTTGTTTTCAAACCCATTAATAAAGGAAAGTAACTGCAGCACACTTTAATTTTAATAGAAAGTAACATATGGAAAGCAAGCAAAAGTACGTAAGCATATTCACCTTTCATTAAAAAAATGGTTCATATAATCATTATATAAGATAATTATATTTCCACAGACAGTCATAATATACTGTGGTTGTGGACTACTGATTAAAACAAGAGAATTGAGTACAAACTTATTTCCCAGGGCCGGAGGCAAGTTGTTTTATGCTTCTGACTCCCCAGAAAGCAATGCAGATGGAAAAAAAAATCTGAAGAAATAAAACACAAAGAGGAAAAAGAATTAAAAGTGAATCAATACTTTTGTTCAACTGAGTTCTTTGAAGGGGAAAATGAACATCAACATTTTAGACACTATAAATTAATGAAATTGAATCTAGCAGTTGTTCACTGATAGAATTTACCCAACCCAACTTAAAACACATTATGTCGGAGAAAAGAGTGGGAGTAAAATGCTTTGTTTTTTTGGCTTTTATTTTGTATTTATTTATTTATTTATTTATTTCTCTATCTCTCTATCTATCTATTTATTTTACTTATTTATTTATTTATTTTACATCCAAGTTAGTTAGTGTTTGCCTTTTATTTTTTATACTCTCAAATCTGGGTCATTTCTAGGGATGGGACTATGAAACTTAGATACCGAATGAAACAGAACTTTCTTCTGGCCTCTGGGCCTTCTGCATGTGGAATGTACTGTATGAAATGATCTCATTGTTTATATAGTTTAAGAAGCATTTGGAAAAGGAGAAATAAAAACATTATAAAGAATCATTCCTCTCTGGGGCAATGTGATCTAACATGTTATGAACTTTACCCAACACGAACTAAATGTTAAACATCACTACTGATTTACCTTCTCACTCTGGTGATCTTACAGGTATGAAAAACTGTACTGCAAAATTCTCTTTAAGATTCATGCCATAACTAACTCATAATAAGCAGCCATCAGAGTTCATTGAGTTTACTTCTCTGCTTTCAAGTAATATCACACATTCCCAACAAATCACCCCAAATTAGCCAAAAATAACTTGATTTCTGATGATCCTAGCAATAAGGATTATATAGTCATTCAGTAAGAACTCATGGTTGCATAATTTTTTATTATGTGTAATCTAAATGCCATAATGCCATAACACACATATCTTCTCTTCTCTTGATGTAAAATCCAAGCACTAGTCATGGTCTTTACACCATCAGAGTTCTCCTAAGCTAACTTTTCCCTTTACTCTTTTTTAAAAAAAATTTTTTTCAACGTTTATTTATTTTTGGACAGAGAGAGACAGAGCATGAATGGGGGAGGGGCAGAGAGAGAAGGAGACACAGAATCGGAAACAGGCTCCAGGCTCTGAGCCATCAGCCCAGAGCCCGACGCGGGGCTTGAACTCACGGACCGCGAGATCGTGACCTGGCTGAAGTCGGACGCTTAACCGACTGCGCCACCCAGGCACCCCCCCTTTACTCTTACCTATACACTAACATTAAGCTACAAGGTTGCCTTATGATCTCCATTTTAGGTGTTATTTGTATGATGATAAAAAAAAAGAGTAAAGCCCAAACAAATGGGTTTATGCAAGAGTCTCTCCATATGTTTTTTTTTTTTTTTTTAATTGTGCAAAGCTCCTCTCCAAACTACTAAAATATGACCAGTTCTTCTCCCCAGGAAGAACCACTATTCCTGAAAGATCCACAAAAATATACAAAGGAGCAAATTTAAGTAATAAGATGCAGGCATGGGAAACATTCTGGGGTGATGGACTGGGGAGAAGCCAAGGCCATTAACTGAGGCCAGCCATCAAGTCAAAGAAAATAGCTTGAACTGTGGTTATTTGGCTGTGAAAGCCTGAATATGAAAACAACAACAACAACACCTTCCTAAACCATGGTATTAGATTCATGGCTAGGTTGTTCTGTTTCATATAGAAACTTTCATATGTTCTTTCTAGAGAACCATGATCCTTCACGTTACTCACTCTGCAGTTTTGTTCCAATACATGCATTCCTTTCAGCCTATAATACGCACAATATAAAAAAATATATATCAAAAATGAAATCTACAGTTATGTTGAAGCAGAAGTCAAGAATAATATTAACATTATGGAGTTGCTTCAGAAATCAAATACAATATATTTAAAGGTTGGTTTTGATTTTGTTTCTTTTGACTCTAATTCAAGAAAAATGACCTCATGGGATTTCTTGTGATGGTGCCAAGCAAAATAATATCAAGGTGAAGAGTATTTATGAAAGCCCTTTGTGCAATGAATTGAATTAGTCTATGAAGATGGGTAATGTTGACAGACGGCTAGCTGTAAAGAGAACTTTCAAATGGGACAGAGATGAAAAATGCATCATATCGGCATAAACAGTTTAATTCAGATCCATAACATTTATGAACCCGAAATATATTTGGCAATAGAAGTTTTTACTGGTTTTTCAGGGTGCCTGGGTGACTTAGTTGATTGAGCTTCTGACTCTTGATCTCCACTCATGTCATGATCTCAGGGTTGTGAGATCAAGCCCAGCATCAGGCTCCGTGCTGGGTGAAGAGCCTGTTTAAATTTTTCTCTCTCCCTCTGCCTCTCTCACTCTCCCTCTCTCTGTCTCTCTCTGTCTCAAAAAAAGAAGTTTTTATTGGTTTTCAATTTAGTTTTTCGGGTCACAAGGATTCCAAGGGTGAAGGCTAGGGAGAAGGAAACCTGTAAACTATATGTAAAATTTCGCTGGTAAGTCATGATTCTCCTCTTCCCTACTCCCTACCCACTAGACTATCTATACTTCCATCTGGGATCCTAGAAATAGTAATAACTTCTGACCTAATGAGAGAATGAAAAAAAAGTTCAATTCAGTTCAATTCCTTTGCTGTTAACCCATAACTTCCCAACTAAATCTTTCTGCTTTTGAAACTATAAATCAAGTCCTATTTCCTTAATGACCCATCCTTAACTAAAACATGAGGATTTTATCTTTTCCAATTATCTAAAATGCTTTCAGCTCCTTAAGAAAAATGAGATATTTAACAATTTATAGTTTTATTTTGTTTCTTTGGCAGGTTTTGGCCCCATTTATTATCTCTTCAAAACATGGGGTGGAGAACTGATGATGCATAGAAATCCAACTCAGATTCAATATTAATGTGCAGTGAGACCCTTGATTAAACTAGCCATTGTCCTATGTGCCTTATTAGATTATGATGTTTAAATCTCATCACAAACTTTGCCAGATTGGTACCCAATTTGCTCATGAGGCAATGGGAACCTAGAATTTATGTGGTTTAACAAGAAATCACAAAACTACTAAATATCAGAACTGGGATATGGGTGTTTGTTTATATAGCATCTCTCAGACAATCTAACTACACATCCTAGGATGTCAGTTCAGTGAATACGTACATCAGTAGTGAATTCTTTCCTCTTTTTTTGTAGTGATCTGTACTTGCCTAATGATTTTTGAGTCAGTAACTGCTAGGTTTCTGACACTTTTCACAATCAATGTTTTAAACATAAATTGGAGTTTTTATATATAATGAAAACCAGATTGACACAGAATCATAAAAATTAATACAATGAATATGCCCTTCTCAAAATATGCATGACCTTGAAATAGTCACTCAATTGCATTAGAAAATAAGTAGGAAAAAATAGATTTTCCATTGTATTTTTTAATGTGTATGCATATGAATCCTAAATATATATTTAGTATATAATTTTAGGCTGGAAAATTATTTAACATGGACTCAATAAACCAGTTGATGATTGGAGTCATGCCATTTTAATTTTCTCTTGTCCAAACTTTTTCTTGATTTTTCTATCAAGCTGTCCATTTTGGTTCTCCATAATTGATTAGATTAAATGTGTCCTTTGAAATGACTGTTGATTAACATATTTCTCAATCAAGTATTTATTCAAGGAAGACAGGAGAATTACTAACGCTAGTATAAGATTAAATGGCAACCAAAGCCAGTTTTTGCAACATACTTCTCTAATCACAGATCTGATGTTTCTGGATATGTACAAACTCAATGAACACTTATTTTATCCAAGTCCCAAGATTTTAACAGCTGGATTCAAAATATGAAACAGAGGAAGTTCACTCCTGGTGTCAAGCCCTCCTTGAGCTAACACATCATTAGTGGCCCTTGTCTTCAGGCTATTTCCTTGACTTCCCAGGGCCCTAGACTCTGATGCCTGAACTTTGGCCTGTACAGATGCTCTCCACGTTTCCTTCACTCTTTCCAAAAAAGTGCATCAATTGACAGGTGGCTAATCTGAACCACTAACCCATACTAAAACACCAGTGGGAACCGATGAGTTATTCTACTGCCCCTCCCCGTTATGTCTGTGTTTTAAGAGGCCTTATTAAAAATGGCTCTACTTATGAGAAAATCAGGCATCTAATCTTAAAGGAGACAGAATAGTATCAGAAGAGGTACTTGTGTGCATGTGACATCTCCTCAAACTGCTATCCCTCAAATTACACAGCTAGTGGATTGTTCTTACACCTATGTACATATCTGTCTCTGTTGGTTTGAATCCGCCTACCAAATGTATTAATAAATGACCTGAGAAGCATATAAAATATCATCTTAGGTAGTGGACTATTTCCATTAGAACTAGCCAGCAACACCCCACACTTCTCAAAACATTTAACTCTCAGATAAATTGCAAAAAAAAAAAAAAAAAAAAAAAAAAAAAAAAAAAAAAAAAAAAAAAAGAAAGTTTTAAAGTACTTGAAAAATTACCCACAAGAGAAACAAAATCTGAGATAGCTGAAATTTACTTGGATTCTCAAACTTGTATCTATTGGTACAAATACTTAAATAGAATATGCTGAGAGATAACATCTCATTTAATTTTATGCTTATCCACAGTGGCAATGTAATTACATATACAGAATCACTAGAGAATTGCACGAGAAAGTCAGAAAATCTAAGTCACTTTATAAATGATGGGTAAAGCTGCCTGATAAATTCTACCTTGACAAGGAAGAAACTTGAAATAGCATTTTTGTGATGAGAGATTACAAACTCACTTTTCGTAATTAAAAAAATATTTTACTCTTTATTTCACTGTGTACATTTTTGTGTACAACTTTTGTCTTGATTTCCTAAAATTCCGTTGGAATGGATATACCTATGTTTTATGTCTAAAAAATTATATCCTGCCTCTAAATGGAAGAATATATTTTTACCTAAAAATTATTTCTCTGACATTGATGAGGTTCATAAAATAACAATTCAGTGACTATTCACAAC